TCTGAGTGTGTAGCTGTAGTTCTGAGTGTGTAGCTGTAGTTCTGAGAGTGTAGCTGTAGTTCTGAGTGTAGCTGTAGTCCTGAGAGTGTAGCTGTAGTTTTGAGTGTAGCTGTAGTTAAGAGCATGTAGCTGTAGTTCAGAGTGTAGCTGTAGTTCTGAGTGTGTAGCTGTAGTTCTGAGTGTGTAGCTGTAGTTCTGAGTGTGTAGATGTAGTTCTGAGTGTGTAGATGTAGTTCTGAGTGTAGCTGTAGTTCTGAGTGTGTAGATGTAGTTCTGAGAGTGTAGCTGTAGTTCTGAGTGTAGCTGTAGTTCTGAGAGTGTAGCTGTAGTTCTGAGTGTGTAGCTGTAGTTCTGAGTGTGTAGCTGTAGTTCTGGGAGTGTAGATGTAGTTCTGGGAGTGTAGATGTAGTTCTGAGTGTGTAGCTGTAGTTCTGAGTGTGTAGATGTAGTTCTGAGAGTAGCTGTTGTTCTGAGTGTAGCTGTAGTTCTGAGTGTGTAGATGTAGTTCTGAGTGTGTAGCTGTAGTTCTGAGTGTGTAGATGTAGTTCTGAGTGTGTAGATGTAGTTCTGAGTGTGTAGCTGTAGTTCTGAGTGTGTAGATGTAGTTCTGAGTGTGTAGATGTAGTTCTGAGTGTGTAGCTGTAGTTCTGAGAGTGTAGCTGTAGTTCTGAGAGTGTAGCTGTAGTTCTGAGTGTGTAGATGTAGTTCTGAGTGTGTAGCTGTAGTTCTGAGTGTGTAGCTGTAGTTCTGAGAGTGTAGCTGTAGTTCTGAGTGTAGCTGTAGTCCTGAGAGTGTAGCTGTAGTTTTGAGTGTAGCTGTAGTTCAGAGCATGTAGCTGTAGTTCAGAGTGTAGCTGTAGTTCTGAGTGTGTAGCTGTAGTTCTGAGTGTGTAGCTGTAGTTCTGAGAGTACCTGTTGTTCTGAGTGTAGCTGTAGTTCTGAGTGTGTAGATGTAGTTCTGAGTGTGTAGCTGTAGTTCTGAGTGTGTAGATGTAGTTCTGAGTGTGTAGATGTAGTTCTGAGTGTAGCTGTAGTTCTGAGTGTGTAGATGTAGTTCTGAGAGTGTAGCTGTAGTTTTGAGTGTAGCTGTAGTTCAGAGCATGTAGCTGTAGTTCAGAGTGTAGCTGTAGTTCTGAGTGTGTAGCTGTAGTTCTGAGTGTGTAGATGTAGTTCTGAGTGTGTAGATGTAGTTCTGAGAGTAGCTGTTGTTCTGAGTGTAGCTGTAGTTCTGAGTGTGTAGCTGTAGTTCTGAGTGTGTAGATGTAGTTCTGAGAGTACCTGTTGTTCTGGGTGTAGCTGTAGTTCTGAGTGTGTAGATGTAGTTCTGAGTGTGTAGCTGTAGTTCTGAGTGTGTAGATGTAGTTCTGAGTGTGTAGATGTAGTTCTGAGTGTGTAGATGTAGTTCTGAGTGTGTAGATGTAGTTCTGAGTGTGTAGCTGTAGTTCTGAGTGTGTAGATGTAGTTCTGAGTGTGTAGATGTAGTTCTGAGTGTGTAGATGTAGTTCTGAGTGTGTAGCTGTAGTTCTGAGAGTGTAGCTGTAGTTCTGAGAGTGTAGCTGTAGTTCTGAGTGTAGCTGTAGTTCTGAGTGTGTAGCTGTAGTTCTGAGTGTAGCTGTAGTTCTGAGAGTGTAGCTGTAGTTTTGAGTGTAGCTGTAGTTCAGAGCATGTAGCTGTAGTTCAGAGTGTAGCTGTAGTTCTGAGTGTAGCTGTAGTTCTGAGTGTGTAGCTGTAGTTCTGAGTGTGTAGATGTAGTTCTGAGTGTGTAGATGTAGTTCTGAGTGTAGCTGTAGTTCTGAGTGTAGCTGTAGTATTGAGTGTAGCTGTAGTTCTGAGTGTAGCTGTAGTTTTGAGTGTAGCTGTATTTCAGAGCATGTAGCTGTAGTTCAGTGTGTAGATGTAGTTCTGAGTGTGTAGATGTAGTTCTGAGTGTAGCTGTAGTTCAGAGTGTAGCTGTAGTTCAGAGTGTAGCTGTAGTTCTGAGTGTAGCTGTAGTTCAGAGTGTAGCTGTAGTTCTGAGTGTAGCTGTAGTTCTGAGTGTAGCTGTAGTTCTGAGTGTAGCTGTAGTTCTGAGTGTGTAGCTGTAGTTCTGAGTGTAGCTGTAGTTCAGAGTGTAGCTGTAGTTCTGAGTGTAGCTGTAGTTCTGAGTGTGTAGCTGTAGTTCTGAGTGTGTAGCTGTAGTTCTGAGTGTAGCTGTAGTTCAGAGTGTAGCTGTAGTTCTGAGTGTAGCTGTAGTTCTGAGTGTGTAGCTGTAGTTCTGAGGGTGTAGCTGTAGTTCTGAGTGTAGCTGTAGTTCTGAGTGTAGCTGTAGTTCTGAGTGTAGCTGTGTACCGTGAATGATCTCCAGCTGCTGAACTCTATTCAGGTTGTCCAGCGCTGACATCAGAGGGTCATGTCTCTGCTGTGTTTGTTCGTTGTTCTTCCCTTTGTTCTCGTAAGCCAGGACAGTGTCAGACTCGTCCAGCAGGAAGGACACTCCGGCTTCAGACAGCTGCACCTGAAAGTACACCACATGTGGGTTAGCGCCGTGTCACAGGGTCAGTCTGACCTTCGGAGAGCAGAGGATAGAGACCTGGCAGCTGCTGCAGGAGCAGAGCTTGGAGCGCCACCCTGACGGCCAGAACACGGCTCCTGATTGGTCCCTCTTCTGACCCGCCTCCTGCAGCTCCTTCAGTCTGCAGCTGGGCTCCGCCTCTTCACGGCTGCGTTTACAGCTGGGCTCCACGATGTCCTCGCTCTGCCAAACATCTGACTGGTTACCAATGAGGATCGGTGCTGCTGAGACACTGCAGTGACCAAAAGACTCACATTCTCCTCTTTAGAAGAGTGGCCGGGTTCTGATGGTTCTCCCTTCTCCTCCTTGGTCTGCTGTGCTGGACGCTGCACTAAAGAGGACATCAACGCGAGTGAGACGTGATGTCCGACAGCCAGCTGTGAGGCCAGTGGATCAGGAGCCAGAACCTCTTACCTCCCAGGTGAGCAGCGTAGGTCCAGAGAAACTGGTGTTTGTTCATGCATGACTCACAGATCATCTCCTGCGTCTCAACGCAGTCCGGAACCACGCAACCCAAATGCTGTGAAGAGCAGGTAACAGACAGGTGAGCATCCAGGTGAGCAGACTCGGGTCCACGGGTCCGTTCTAAGACTCACCCTGCCGTGCAGCCAATCTTCACAGACTACACACTGGATCATCTCGTCCTCCACCTGAACACAAGCAGCCAACCACAGTGAGACACGGCATCAGGTTTCACCTGGGGAACAGGTGAGCTTCAGCTAACCTCATCGTCAGGGTCCGGGTACGGCCGGAGGCAGGTGCAATAAACCCCGAAGAAGTTATGGCTGTATTTGTTCAGGTTGTTGACGTCGTCCTTGTCCTGATAGACACACACACACACACACACACACACACACACACACACACACACACACACACACACACACACACACAGGGTCAGCCGCAGTGAGGCGGCAGAACAGGTGAGCCATCAGATGTTCTGGTCTAAACTCACAGGATGTAGTTTACACTGCAGTCCAGAGAACTTCCTGTTTCCACAGTCACAGCGAAAGTTTCTGCAAAAACCACACAAGAAAATTTTCAAAGAAAACTCCCAGATTCCGATACTCTGATTGGTTCCCAGGAGCCGATGTGGACGGCAGACGGACCAATCAGCTAACGGTACCTCTTGGTGTAAAGTTCAAAGAGGTCGTGACCCTCGTGACACTTGTAGGAACAGGCCAGGCAGACGCCTGCAGCCTCACCTCCCGGCGGCGTGCATGTGCTGCAGGCGTACAGCGCCTGCCGCTTCACGTAGCCCTGAAACACAGAACGATTCCCTTTGAAACGCAGAGCGACGGATTGGTTTCTGGTCAGACCAGATGATTCCAGGTGAGGCTGAGGAATACCTGAGGGTACGAGCAGTGATCTGAGTCACTTCCTGCCAACACGGCTGAGGCCTCCTCCTCCAGCTCCTCGTCCTCTTCCAGAACATCCACCAGAGACACCGTCTGCTCCTCACACATCTTTAGCTTCTTCCTAAAGGAGAAACTCACAGATCAATGGAAAACCAGACTCCAAAGGAGGAGAAGGCTGCAGGATAGGAACCGAACCGAGGCTGGGAGATGGAGGAATGTTCAACACTGATTTCACTCAGATTCCAGCTTTGCTAGAAAAGCAGCGATAGAGTTGATTCCTTCCCGCTATCATCGCAGCCCCAACCCTTTACAGGAGGACAGACGACCTCTCCTATTCATCCAGACCAACAATTCCCTTTAACGACCCCCTTTCAGAGACATAGACAGGTATGGGGCATTGCAGGCTAACAAAGAAGCCAAACGACCCCCATTCCAAAGGGGGGGACCCGTTCATCCGTTTCTATTTGCATGTTTTCTAAACTAAAACCAGGCTTTGTTGGGCTGCTGGATAAAACCTGGAACTAAACGCTATTTCTGACATTTGGATTGAAAAATCTTCCTGGATGGAAGAGAAACGTGGATTGTTTTTTAACTTTTATGGAATAACTCTGACCTGGATGATTGAGAATCACCAGAAACTTTCAGACAAACTGATCTGCTTCTTTCTTCACCTGGATTATAAATTAAATGATTTATAGTTTAGGGAAATTTGCCATCAAGTCATGAAGGACCAAACTACATCTGATCTGACTGGGCTGCCATGGTAACATGATCAGAGTTTCCTAAAACAGACCTGCTGGGTGACGTTGCCATGGTACCCGGGGTATAGCTGTTGATCGGGTCGTTTAACCAGAGTTACATGTTATTAAGCTGCGTTCTTATCTCTGATCAGCTGCAGCTCGCTAATGCTAACGCTGAACCCGCGGATCAGAACAGAACTTACCGAACCGGACCGAGCCGAGCCGAACCGGAACCAAACTCTTCCCGGCGACCGATTCACAGAGACGGGCAGCAGGTCAGGAAGGCTGACCGGAGCTGTTCTTTGATACCCGAAGCGCGGAAACTTGCTAACGGACCACCACTTCCGGTTGACGTCCAGCAGCTCGTATTTGGCGGCTTCCGGTGACGTCGGAGGTCACCAACATGGAGGCAGCGTGTGTGCGCGCGGAGCTCCGATATCGGGATGGACAGAGTCAGAGCTTTAGCATCCGACCCGGAGGCGGCGGCCTGGGCGCTCTGAGGGCCGCGATCTCCGAGCTCAACCTGAAGGCGTCACAGCTCCTCAGCGAGCTGGTTGACAGTGAGAGAGAGCGCGCGGGCAGCGCGCGAGGTGAGCTGCAGTTTTTTTCCTTTGAGCTGCAAGGTGCGCGTCAAGAGCCTGTTAAAATCTGAGTCACGTGACCAAAACAAACAGCTACTGTGAACCAATAGGCGCGCTCCGTCTGCGCGGTGTTGTTCCTGTTTTGGACACGGCTTTACCCGGGCGATATGGCGGCTCTGCTAACGTTTGAACCCATCAGTCCTGCTGTGTTTGTCTGTTTAATCATTGTTTTGAAGCTTTTATTAGCATAGAAACTGCTTAGAAAGTAATTATCCATAATATTGCTAAAACCTTTATAAAATTTACCGTTAAAAATGTTTGTCTACCTCCACAGAAGCTCCCCCAGGCGGCTGTGATGGGTCATTACAGGTTATATATCCATCCTATTTACATCATGGTTTCAGTAAATTAAAAAGTTAACAAAGCTTTATAGCGTCATTTAAAATGTGAACAGATATCTTCGCTATCAAATGGAGCACATATCATAGGTTAAGTACTGAGAATATAAAATATGTTTAAACTGTAAAAAAAAAAAAAAAATAGGCCTCGTGAAATACTTTTTTTAAAGTCCTTTTTTATTAGGTATCTTTATGCATTATTTTACCAGGCTTAAATTGATTAGCTGTGAACATCATCCCAGAAAAACGTCCGTAACTCAGTGATCAATCCATCCATTCCAGGAGACTTCCTGTTCTTCATCTCATGGAGCGCCTCGTCTTCATCGTTCACGGCTACGTTCTCACTCTTTAGAAGCAGTTTGCTTTTTAAATCAAGTTTTAACTGTTTAGTTAATAGATTATGGGAAATATAATTTTTTTCAGACTAATTTCCTCTCCGCAGGTCTGATGATTCACTCCTGGCAGGTTAGCTTGCAGTTTACGCGTCACACATTTCACCTGCTTTTCAGATTTGATCACTATTTGTTCCGGAGGTTTTTAAGGACGACCGTTTCCGTTTCGTCTGCCGTCCGTCACACCGACCAGCAGCTGAACCTTATCAGGCGTTCAGTGCTGTTACTTAAAGCCAATCAAATCAAATCTCATTTTTTTCGTGACCTAGCGGATCACGCCACCATCCTGAGGCTCTGCAGGTTCCCAGGAGCCTCACTGAGCTCCTCCTCCCGACCTGGAAGCTGTGATGTTTGGCTGCGCTCTGGTCTGACTCACCTGTTTTCTCTGCAGCAGGCGATGAAGATGAAGGTGGTGAGGAAGAGAGCGATGAAGAGGATGGGGAGGAAGAGGACGGTTCGAACTCTGACCTGCAGCCTCAAGTTAAAAGATCCAAAACCAGCTGAAAGTTCGGCTACGAAACATCATGTTTTCATACTTTATTAAAGTCATATTAAAGTTGCCATGGTAACCAGTGTGTCATGTCATTAGATACAGAAAAAACAAACGGGGAATGCTGCTCGCTGATTGGTCAGCTCGTTACAGTCGGGGCTGAGGGCAGGAAGCCTCAAACTGTAGGAAGTGACATCACACTTGTCCATTTGCCTCTACATGTGAATAAGCAGTCCAGCTCTGTGATTGGTTGGTTTGGCTGCACCACGGCGACTGCACATCAGAAAGACGCAGACAGGAAGTACGCAGTATCCCACGGCATGGGGGTCCGCCCTCGTGCATGAGAACAGGAAGAGGAAGAGCTGCAGGTATGGCACCAGGAACACCGACGCCCACACCCACAGAGGAAGTGGCGGCAGGTGGGCGGAGACGGCAGGAGGCAGGGCCAGTGAGTCGATGCCATCTCTCTGCACCTTCTCCAGACTGATGACCTCAAAGATGTAGTACGCCACCATGACGCTGAGCAGCAGGAAGAGAGCCACGCCCACCCAGCCCATCCTCTGGCGGAAGTTCGTCATCCTCCATACTGCAGGGAGATAATCAGACATCAGTTTATGTTAATAAACCATGATCAAATCCATGATCAATCCTAAATATAAACACGATTCAACGGTTCTGATTAGAGTTAACATCACCTGATCCATATTCTGCTCAATATAGTGAATTAATTCCTGTCACCATATTAAAATCAGTTATTCAGTTCTGATAATCGATAAAACTGACTGATCTGGACTTCCTCTGATCCAGATTGATCAGATTCAGGTGAACTGTTCCCTTTAAATCGAATCAGAGCTGAACTGTTCTCTTTAAAACAAATCAGCTGAACTGTTCCCTTTAAAACGAATCAGAACTGAGCTGTTCCCTTTAAAACAAATCAGAGCTGAACTGTTCCCTTTAAAACGAATCAGAACTGAGCTGTTCCCTTTAAAACGAATCAGCTGAACTGTTCCCTTTAGAACGAATCAGAACTGAGCTGTTCCCTTTAAAACGAATCAGCTGAACTGTTCCCTTTAAAACGAATCAGCTGAACTGTTCCCTTTAGAACGAATCAGAACTGAGCTGTTCCCTTTAAAACGAATCAGAACTGAGCTGTTCCCTTTAAAACAAATCAGTGCTGAACTGTTCCCTTTAAAACGAATCAGAACTGAGCTGTTCCCTTTAAAACGAATCAGCTGAACTGTTCCCTTTAGAACGAATCAGAACTGAGCTGTTCCCTTTAAAACGAATCAGCTGAACTGTTCCCTTTAAAACGAATCAGCTGAACTGTTCCCTTTAGAACGAATCAGAACTGAGCTGTTCCCTTTAAAACGAATCAGCTGAGCTGTTCCCTTTAAATCGAATCAGTTAAAATTTTTCTTTTTAAAATGAAGCAGATTTTAACTGTTTGCTTTCAGGATAAGCAATTACAATTAATTATATGGATGTCCACATTCAGCTTATTTCTGACATCGATATTTTAGTTTTGAGAATATTGATACAGTATAAGCACTTAAATCATTATGCTTTTATTACTTATTCTGTACTTTAGAAGGTTAGCAAAGGTTTAATAAGGTGAAACGGGGAACAATAATCAACAGATATAGAAAGGAGAACTGAACCTTAGAATATTAAGCTATGAGGTACAGAAACTATCAGCCTGAAGGTAAGTAGGCTGTTTAAGATGCAGACTGATGTAAACTGATATTAGCTTTCTGGCTAAAATCAGACTGATTAATATGGGGTCCGGAGACCCTTAATTATAGACTATCTCCAACTAGAATGGACATTTAGTGATGAAATGTTCACTTTCAGAGTGAATCAGCTGAACTGAGTTAAATCTAGTCAATAATGAATGGAGTCTGGTCCGAAGTTAAAGGCTAAGCTACAGGGCAGTGTTAAACACTGTCTGAACCAGACTCCATTCAGATTTTATTCCGTTTAAGAGGATCTGAACTGTTTTGTGGATCATCAGTGTGACTGAATCATTTGGACCGAATCTCTGAGTGGAACTAGAATCTGTTCAGAATTCGGCTCCTTTAACTTTGGACCAGATTTTGGTCATTAATTTTCTGGTTCATGTAAACCGGTCGCGTGTCCTACACCTGGCCGCGTGAAGCCACGTGTCCGAGCGAGCGCGGGCTCGCGCTACAGAGCTCCTACCTTCCCTCGCGCTGATTCTTTCAAAGTAAAATCCAGGTTCGGACTCGGTTTCAATCAGCAGCTGCTTTCGGGAAGTTCGGGTCGAAGGTTTGCCTCGCTTCCTGTTTGGTCATGTGACTTACCCATGACGTCATTGAACTTTTAAACCCAGGGCGCCCCCTGGAGACCAAACAGATCTTCACCTATAGAATAGAATAGAATAGAATAGAATAGAATATATGTTATTCTCCCACTATGGGGAAACTCTGGTGTTTAAAGCAGCAACAGATTATAGAAGAAAATGGTCTCACAAATGTGGACCTTAGAAAAATATAGAATAACATAAAGAGTGAAGAGTTAAAAGATAAACAATAAAATCCAGTAAAGTGTTTTAACAATATAAAACTGGAGAATAAATAACCAATATACAGCTATGGAGATTTTTACAGTAATATTTGGAAAATAGATATTTGATCTCCGGTTCAGAGTCATGATGACCTTTGACCTGCTAACTGAGGCCTGTAGAGTCTGAGCCGTGGCCTTTATGCTTATTTCTGAGCCTCCCGCTCTGAATCTCCTGGGAAGGTTTGCAGATGTCTGAGATCTTCATCCCTCTGCTGGACCTCAGGGGGTCTGCAGATGACCTTTGACCCTTCCCAAAACAGGACCCTGTGAGGCCAATGCTGATGTCTTTTCCTTCTTGGCTGAATGAAACAATCCTTTGTTGTCCCAAAGACAGGAAATGCAGGAGCCTGTTTGATTTAGAAAATAAAAGCTGTCGATCATAATTTATTCAGGTGGGTTTTAAAATAATATCTCCCACATTAAAGACACAGCTGGTGCTGAAAAAGGAAATGCTACAGCTTTCAAATAGAGGTTAGAATAATTCAGAGTTGCTTAGCACCTGATGACAAAATGATGGTCATCCCATAAAGCTTGAATAATCTCTTTCAAATAAAACTCACAGGTTTATGTAGAATCATTTAATGAGAGTCGAGGCTGCAGGATTAATGGACCAAAACCTGAACTGAACAGACAATGGACTGCTGACCTTTCAAAATAAAGCTCACAGCTCCAATTTAATATTTAGTCCCTTTAATTGATTTACTAGATGGATGGATGAATGATGGATGGATGGATGGATGAATGATGGATAGATGGATGGATGGATGGATGAATGATGGATGGATGATGGATGGATGGATGAATGATGGATGGATGGATGGATGAATGATGGATGGATGGATGAATGATGGATGGATGGATGAATGGATGGATGTATGGATAGATGGATGGATGGATGAATGAATGAT